AATAATAAAGGAAAGAAAAGAAGGATTATGAATATGATGAATGTGGGAATAGAGCTAGTAAAATATGAGCAAGAGAGAAGTTCTAATTGTAGACAGAAGGAAAGGATAAATGGAGAAGAGAAGTAAGAAAGGGAAGGAGAAGATATGATTTAAGATTGAACACTTAAAGTGTGTTTAGTACTTCACATATAATGACAGCAAGAAAAGGAAAGGATGGGAAAGTAGACCTAAGAAGAGAATAGGAAAGAGTGTACAAAAATGCCAAAATCACACCTTAAGTAAAACAATAGAAACAAGCTAATGAAAAATCAAAACAACCAATCAATGGGATATTGGTTCTTTGTAGTTCTGCAAGGAATAAGGTGTAAGAATCACTGTTCAATAAAGTGTGTCAGTGAGGAAGAATGCTCGGTGAGGTCATTCTGCTGCTGTCTTGGTGTCTCCCACCTTTTCTCCTCATAAGTTAATTTTCTCAGGCATTTAATTATAGCAAGGGGATGCTAACTAATGTTCTTCCTTTTGGTAAGTTGCTCTTATTTCATTTTATTTATTTTTATGACTAAAATGACATTTTAACAGAGAAATTAGAAATATACTAGATGATTCTTGTTCATCCAAGTTCTTGGAATTAAAAATTAATATGGGAAGTATTAAAATTACCAAATTTATACATATATATATAATTCCAGTCATTTATTGGTGAAACATGTTCCCTGAGAAGAAACTAAAGAATTCAAAGAAGGTGAAAAGAAGGGTAACAAATAAGAATTACATGTATTAATGAAACGCCTACCACAGAAAAACTAAGAGATTGATACAAACTCAAGTACAGCAATAAAGGAGAAACATGGATTCTGGACTAGGGAAGAACATTAGAGATGGAACTCAGATCATATTAAAAATTCTAATAATTGGCAGAACAGGAAAAACTGAGTTCACCTGGAGGAATGTGTTGTTTATCTAATGAAAAAAATATATTTCTTCTGTTGTACTTGATGAGGTAACTTTCTTGTGTATATTCATTTTATAATCTATAAATGAAAACTTATTTTTAATTATCTTGAAGTTGAGGGCGAGAAGATATGAAAACCGCAGCAACAGAGTTCCAGCATTGACTGGCGAAGAAAGTGATCAAAGAGAGACTGAAGAATGAGCAGCATAAGTAAAGAGCTGAGTGAGAGAAGAGAGAACAAAGGCCTGAAATAGAGTATTGACAGCTGCAGAAGGTCATCATCCCTGAACTTGAGTGGCTGAGACCTGTGCTCACAGAACACAGAGGCAAAACACATATGTGCGCACACACATAACAAAGGGTAGATCTGAGAAACAAAGAACTGAAAAAGCATAGAGAGACCCATTTAAACAGTGATAATTGCTAACTTAAGGTTGATGAAGAAAGACCTGATGTTAACAGAAGTGCATGGTTAACTACCTCCAGCAGATAATAGCCCAAAAAAGAGGCACAGGAAAGAAATGCTTAGTGGTAGGCCTAATGGAAGCATGAGACTCTTTGTAAATTAGTCAAAAGCCTGGACATGTCCCCTTGGTGCTTGACCAGTTACTGACACCATCTATTTAATCGGGACCTCCTTAGGAAGACTATTTGGGGTCAAAGAGTCCTCAGGCTTCAAAGTGAATTTAATGGGTACTGTTTGCAGAAATGGCAGGCCAGGGGACATGCCCAAGAGAATTCATTAAAATCTAGTTTCCAGGAGAAGCATTTTCCAGGGAGGTCAAGTCGCCTGAGAAGAGTAGACTGAAATGTCTCCCAAGGACAAGACTAGGGCTCTCTGTTGCTCCAGAGAGAGTGAGACTAGACAATGGTGAGTCTACTTTAAGGAGCCTTGCTTCTACCTGTCATCAAGTTCATACCCTGATCTTCATTTATTATAGATCCCACAGGGAAGATATATGAAAAATCTGAGTATATGAACTCAACACTCAGTCAGAACCACTACCGGGCTGTGGAGGGATTTCTCAAAAAGAGAGCGGATGAGAACATTGGGAAGGATTCAGCTCCTTGCTTTTCCTAAGATCCTGCCTAGATTCTTAGCTGATTATCTGCTTCCATCTCTTTCCTCAGAAACGACAGGCAATGGCAATGACTTTTACCCCTGATCCTAGTGACCATCATGCACAACTACTTCCCACCCTGGCAGAAGAACCACCTCTTCTTTCTTCAGTGTCACGAATCCCTTCATTTCCAAAATGAACAATAGAGCACCTGGTGTAATCTAGAAGCTGTATCTTTTCCCATTGAAGGTAAGTTTCTGTCTCTGTTTCTACATATCCTGTGGAGGCTATGAGTCATGAGAAAGAGGACCATGACTTTGCTGCTCTGCTTTCAGATTGTCTTGTTTCTCAGATTTCATAGCAAGTTCACTTCCATATGTACTCTAGGCATTTGCTAAGTGAACCCACCTTGCATATGCTGAGATACCAGTAATCATTCAGTACCACTGGCCAGAACTGACTTTTAGAATTCCTGATAATGGCTTTCTTACTAAAGTCTCAATATCTACTTTTAATACACCTATATTTTCATGGACTTCAATTGTCTGATATGAGTACCAAATAATAGCATGTCAAAAGAAGACCACATATTATCAGTTCAAGTTACTCTCCTCTACATGCTTGTTTAACACCAAAATACCTTAGTAAAGACAAATGAAGTCAAATAATAACTTAAATATTTTGATCAAAGGCAGAAAGAAAAAACTTATAAAATATATTTCTATAACTTTAGCTTTATTTTTTAATTGATTTTGATTGTGTCCATAATGTTCAATAATGCTCCTCTATTCACCTTAGCCTCTGTTGACAGCTCTTGGCATGAGCCAATATACTACTAGCAGTTTTGTAGAAAAGGATGTTTCTCTGTTGGGTTCCCTGGCCTTTCTCTATGGAGGGCTCTACATGGGAGGAGCAGTGAAAAGAAAAGAAGGGAAAACAAGTCTTGAATCAAAGGAAGGTGTCAGGTAGATAGGATCTGATATCCTCATTACACCACCTTACCCACACTCTGTTTCTTTTCTCATCTTTAAATACTGTCCAAATCTTGGCTTAGAACATACCCAGCTAATGAGTTTTTTCTGACTTCTATTTCTCTATTCATTCATCTTCTATTCAATCAATAGAAGAGCATTTCAAGTATCATATTTATCAAAAACAATACCCAGAATTTGCCTTGAGCATGTCTTTTTACTTTCAATAAGCAGAAAAAGGCTTTCTTGTCAAAGTTTCTCAGGTTAAACCTATAGTGTTGGTTTCTTAAAACAAAGTAAAGATCTTAAACCCCAATGAATGATGGCACAATATGTTAAGGAGGATACTTGTTTCTGGCTGGCTTCTTGACCACAGTGCCAGGTAGTGCAAAAGTAGTGGGAGGGCTTCCTTTTGCTGCATCTTATTGTCCTGACCTTCTGAATCTTACTATCTCTTTTTTGTTGTTGTTGTTATACCTCAAACCTTATGACTTAGCCTGCTCTTACTCATTCTTGGTTTGTAGCTTATATACCACTTCCTAAAACCTCACTCATATGTTGCACGTATATCATGTTTTTCTTCATTGATATATAATCAGCCCGTATGGTGTATATGTTTGTGATGAGTTTTTCAAATCTACACAATAACTCTAGAATCACTTGTGGTATTGGGTACATTGTATGTCCTTAGTAAATTTTGACTAAGTGAAAGGAACTGAGCATAGGGGCCTTTCATCTCAGGTTTTTGTAATCCTACCACTTAAAGTCTCAACTCTGATGTAAATAGATTAGAGACATAAAGAGAAGATAGGAGTACTCAGTCTAGTTATGCAGGAAAGGTAAATAAGTTAATTAATGAGGGCTGGTGGAGTGGCTCAAATGGTAGAGTGCCTGCCTTGCAAATGTGAGGCCCAGAGTTCAAACCTCAGTATCACTACCACCAATAAAAAAGAATTTAATGAATTTTCCTCTTCTCTTCCATGCTTCTTCCTAAGACTTCCATTGAACTTTAAATAATCTTCATTCACAAAGAGCAGGACATATTCTATGTCCTCTTCTCCCTAACCCTTTTCACCAGTCCTATCATATGAATTCAGGGTTTGGCAAGATAGCATCCCTCCTTCTGTTGCTAAGATATGTGAGAGAGAAGAAACCATTCAGAGTGTTGCTGTGAATCCCAGACAATGAATTGTCTTTGGGCCTTTTCTACAATGACTTATTTTTGTAGTTCATATCCTCTTATCATATGATGTAAGCACAAATGAGGTACCATAGCTCCATGAATCCCATCTCTTTCTTATCTTGTTTACTCTTGAGTCTATTTTTATCACTTCCTTCAAACAAACAACTTTTGTACTGTTCTTACCAATTTATCGCTAAAATATATTTCACCCAACCATTTAAATTCATCTAAGAATTCTTTTACCCTCCAGCAGACTGGCAGTATTTCCATGAAGGGAAGAAGGACAATTTAAGACTATAAGGGATCAAGTGACCCAAGAGCTCAGAGATTTCTCTGTTGATGATGCTATCATTCCTTGAGATAAGAAAGTAAAGGAACATATCAGATAAAGGAAGAAAATGGCAAAGAATAATTTTATAAATAAAATTTTAAAAACTGAACTGTAATTACATGCAGATTTTAAGCATAAAATCAGCATGATTTTCAACCAGTGCCCAGTGTATTTGCTTATTTTGAGTAGAGATATTTTCTTCTCTATATAAAGATGTTTTCCTGGTCTTATTCTCTTTGATGCTTTACATAAAGGAAATTCTTGATAATTAACATTTCCAATTGTTTCTGTTGCCCATTTAGCCAATGGCTCATTATAATGCAGTCAAAACATCCAGAGATTTAGAGAACAGAGAGGAAACTTAAAAAAGAAAATGATAATTCATGGGATTCCTGCTGGCTACTCCATGTGTCCTGGGACAATCCAAAACTAGGCTGAAATAACATAGAAACATTTCCACTGGAAACTTTCTGGTTCTAGACAATCAAAGAAACTACACAGAATGGATCTCTGGAACTCCACCTTGGGGAATGGCTTTATTTTGTTGGGAATTCTGAATGGCAGTGGGTCTCCTGAACTACTCTGTGTCACAATCACTGTTCTGTACATATTGGCCCTGACCAGCAATGGACTGCTGCTCCTGGTCCTCACAATGGATATTCAGCTCCATGTGCCCATGTACCTCCTGCTCAGGCAGCTCTCTCTTATTGACCTCCTCTTCACATCAGTTGTTACTCCCAAGGCTGTCATGGATTTTGTGTTCAGAGATAACACCATTTCCTTTGGAGGTTGTGCCCTTCAGATGTTCCTGGCACTGACGATGGGTGGTACAGAGGACCTCCTTCTGGCTTTCATGGCCTATGACAGGTATGTGGCCATTTGTCATCCTCTTAACTACATGATCTACATGAGGCCAAGGGTCTGCTGGCTCATGGTGACCACATCATGGATCCTGGCATCCCTGAGTGCCTTTGGACATACCATGTATACAATGCACTTCCCTTTCTGCTTCTCCTGGGAAATCAGGCACTTGCTCTGTGAGATCCCCCCTCTGTTGAAGTTGGCCTGTGAAGACACCTCTAGATATGAACTCTTTGTTTATGTGACAGGTGTGACTTTCCTCCTGCTCCCTCTTTCTGCCATTGTTACCTCCTACACACTAATTCTCTTCACTGTCCTCCATATGCCCTCAAATGAGGGGAAGAAGAAAGCCCTTATTACTTGCTCTTCCCATATGGTTGTGGTTGGGATGTTTTATGGGGCCGCTACATCCATGTATGTCCTGCCTAGCTCCTTCCACAATCCCAAACAGGACAACATCATCTCTGTTTTCTACACAATTGTTACCCCAGCCCTGAATCCCCTCATTTATAGCCTGAGGAATAAGGAGGTCACTGTGGCCTTGAGGAGGGTCCTAGGGAAATACATATGGCCAGTACACCCATCCACTTAGGTCTTGTCTCTCACTATTTTTTCCAATCAATTGTTATACTATCCATTCTTTAATATTATATTTTATAAGAGATGATGAATATACTTTTTAAATTTTTCCTTTTTTTTTACTGTGTAGCTGTTATACATAGAGACCTTAAGGCAACTTCACAGTGATCTTGGAAGTCCCTCATTAAAAAGGAGAAAGGGAAGATCCACAGAAGATATATTGCACTTTCTGTATTTTTTAAGAAGTTAGCAATTAGTGTGAAGAAACAGAGATAGGTGACTCATTTTTGTTTCATCTCTGAAGAGAAATTTACTTTTCTCTGTAAATAAACACAAAGACCTACATTAAGATATTGGAAAGGGCTAACATAAGGGAGCTTGGCATTTTAGTTGGAAGCTTTCACAGAGTTTGTTTTTAGTGGTACATTTTACAACACCTAAAATTAAAACAAAGAAATTAATTAAATAGTATTGAAATTAACCATACCTAAACAGAGAAAAGATACAGTAACACTGACAGAAATACATTATATGTATTATTTGAATGTTTAAAAAATGCATACACACAAGTGGTTTTGAAGCATCAAAACAAATGAAAGGCGCTCATATTCTTGAAGTGAGAATATGTGTATGTCTGTGTCCACAGGAAAAGTATAAAATACTTGTCATTGTCTAGCTCTTCTAAAAATGCTTCAGTTTATCATAATATTTATTGGTGTGGAAAGATTTTTTTAAAAAATTGGGACCTTGTATTTGCTGACTGCAGAAGCTTCAAAATATTTTGGCTTATGTAGATGCTGTTATTGTTGTTATAAGTACTTATGAGAAGTCAGGAATAATTTTCAATAATTTTCTTTTTTCCTGAGGTAAAATTGAATTGCTTAATCTGTAAAACTAAGCCATAACAGAACAGTAAAGCTTATTAAACCAAGTTCCATATAAAAACAGAAAATTCAGAAATTAAAAAAATGTAAAAATCAGCTACCATGTGTTCTTGTCATTTTGATATGAATACATGTTTTACTGAATTTATATGTAAGTGACATTAAGCTACTTTTGTCATTTAAAATTTGATGACCTTTCTTCTTTGTTATAATGGAAGATTTTAGAGTATTGACAGAGAAGAGACAGGGACCATGTGTTTGAATCCCTGCTCTCTGTTTATCATCTATGCATCTTTGAACACTAAATTACATTTTGTTTGTACCTCAATTTGCTCATCTGTTAAAAGTTGTGATAATTAAAGCCTGATCTCATGGTGTTATTGGATAGATTGCATAAGATAATAAATATCAGTCATTAAGATCACAGTCTGGCAATTTGTGCTTAAAACATGTTGGCAATTACATGGATGAATAGTAAAAAGTCAGAACAGCTTAATATTAACTTTATTCTTTTAGAAAGGGAACACCTGTCCATTTTATTTGTTTTTGTTGACAAAATTTGTGTGTACAGTATGAAGTTTTATGTATGTACATATTGTACAATTGCTAATTTGAGCTAATTAATATGTTTTATGTCACATATTTAACTTTTCTGGTAAGAAGTTTAAAATATATGTCTTTTTACTAGCATCTCTTGATTTTTTCACCCCCAACTCTGATAACCACCATTTTACTCTCTTTTTTTTATGAGTTCAACTTTCTTTTTAGATTTCACCAATAACTGAAAATCATTTCTGTGTCTGATATTTTACTTTACATAATGTGACCCAGGTTCATTTAGGTTCATATTTTCTTCTTCATAAAGTTACCATTCATGCATTGATGGCAGGTTCCAGATCTTGACTGTTGTGAATACAGTGAACACAGGAGTGCAGGATATCTCTTTTCAATACTGACTTCAGGTCCTTTGGTTATATACCTGGTAGTGGATTTGCTGGATCATATGGTAGTTCTGTCAAACAATCATTGTACCTTTGGGATAAATTCCAGTTAATCATGGCAAATAACTATTTAAATGTCCTATGAAATTTGGTTTGCTAGTATTTTATTGAGAATTTTTTTCACCTATTTATCATATTGGGCTATAATTTTACTTTCTTGCAATGTCCTTGTCTGACATTTTGTATCAGGGTTTTGTTTGCCTCATAAAATGAAATTAGGTGTACTTTCTCCTCGTCCAATTCTTTGAAAGTGCTTGAGAAGAATTAGTAATACTTCTTTAAAAGTTTTGTAGAGGCTGAGGCTTTATCTCTTTCCTTGTATGGGAGACTTCACCTTCAGTCATGTATCCCTAAAGGTGAAGTGAGTCTCTCATAAGCAACATATAATTGTGCTTTTTAAAAAATCCTTTATTCAGCCATTCTATGTCTTTTCATTGGACAATTTAATCCATTCATATTTAAGGTAATTAATGACAAGCATGATCTTAGTCCTGCCATTTAGTTCCTTGTTTGATTGTTGTGATTTATTTCTTTTTAGATCTCTTACAGTCTTACATTATGGTAGGTATTTTCTCTAGTAGTCTGTTTGAATTACTTGCTTTTTTTTTTTTTTGGTGTGTCTGTTCCAGTTATTATAGATTGTTGCTTTGTGGTTACCCTGAGGTTTACAGAAAATCTTTTGACTATAACAAGCTATTTTGAAATGATAGCAATTTAACATTGATAGGAAAAAACAAAATGAGAAAAAGAAATAATATTATTTAAAACTACACTCATTTATATTTCTCTCCACACTTTGAATTTATTTTTTTTTTGTGGGACTAGGGTTTGCACTTAGGGCTTCCCACTTGCAAAGCAGGCATCTCTACCATTTGAGCCACATCTTCAGTTCATTTTGCTCTGGTTATTTTGGAGCTAGGGTGTTGAGAATGATTTGCACAGGGTAACCCCAAACCATGATCCTCCTGACCTCAGTCTCCCAAGTAGCCAAGTTTACAAGCATGAGTCACCTGTGCTCAGCTCATATTTGAATTTTTTATATTCCATTTACTTCTTTATCTATTTCCTATCTCTTAACATATTAATGAAGGTATTATTTTAATTGCCTTTTAGTTTACATACTAAGATGTAAAAAGCTTAAGCTCTGTGCTTACAATATTAGAGTAGTCTGGATTACTCTGTAATATTACTATTATCAGAGAGTTTATATCTTCTGTTGTTTTCTTACTTATTAAAGTCTCTTTCAGTTTGAAGAATTCTATCATTTCTTGTATATAGGTCTGGTGGTGATAAATTCTCTCAAATTTGTTTGGTAATGTTTTTATAGGTCCTTCATTTCTAAAGTTTTGCTGAATATAGTAGTTTTGCTTTGTACTTTTTCTTTCAACACCTTGTATATTTCATCTCACTTCTTGCTTACCTATAAGGTCTCTGCCAAGAAATCTGCTGTCAGGAAAACTGGAATACCCCTATGTGTTATTTGTTTCTTTTTGCTTCTGCTTTGAGAATCTTCCCTTTGTCCTTAACCTTTAAGAACTTGATTCTATGTCTTGGGTAGGTTTAGTTTAGTTGATTATTATTGGTATCTTTTGTCCTTTTTGTACCTAGATATTTGTATTCTTCTTTAGGCTCTGGAAATTTTCTTTTAGCTCTTTGAATAATTTTTCTACCTCATTGGCATTCTCAAATTCCTCTTGAATCTTAATAACCTGAATATTTGTTCATTGTATGCTCCCCTAAAATTCCTATAAGCTTTCTTCATTCTCTTTATCATTTTGCCTTTTTTCTCCTCTATGTAATTTTTAATAATCTCTCTTTGAATTCATTGGTTTTTTTCTGTTTGATGTACTCTGCTTTTGGTGCCTCCTATCAGGTTTTAAATTTCTCTTAGTGTATTTTTCAGCTCAAGGATTTCTGCTTGTTTAAAATTGCTTCAGTCTGTTAAGTTTCCCTAATATAGTACTGAATTAGAATTATTTCATTGCATTTGCTTGAAGCTCATTGAGTCTCCTTAGAATAATTCCTACTGTGAATTCTCTGTCCACAAGTTCACTCATATTGATTGCTATGAGGTCAGTTTTCATCAGTTTATTCTATTGGTTATGTGAAGCCACAGTTCCCTGAAAATTTTTGATGTTTGTCCATGTCCAACATTGTGCATTCAAGGATTAGGTGTTTACAACAGTCTTCTTAATCTAGCTTTATTTGTTCCTATCTGTCTCTCTCTTTTTTTTTTTTTGGTGATACTGGAGTCTGAACTCAGAGCCTTATGCTTGCTATGCAGGCACTCCACCACTTGAGCTACTACACAAGCTCTTATTCCTATTTGTAAGAAAGTTCATTTTCTTTGTGGATGGTTCAACTATTTTAGCACTACATGGTATCTTATGTAGTCTATTCTCTTCAGTCTTGAGTAGGGACAAGTCAAGCCAGATACCTTGTCTAGAGTGACTGGCCTGTGTCTAAGTGCCATAGGATTCTGTCTGACTTTTGAGCTTTATCATGGAAGAACTAACCCCAGGTTCCAAAGCAAAAATTTGGTGTGTACCTTCCTTTTCTCCCTCCCATTTGTTACTTTCTCTGTGTTGTGCTGCCTGCAGTTGAAGGAGGTATGTACATAAGGGCAGCCACATGGCCATCAGTACCACATGCAGGGTCACACCTGGTGCCCACAACCTGCCAAATTCAGTGCCACATGAGGGCATGACCAAGGCCTATCCAGCTATGGGCTGCCTGTTGCTGTGGTGTGTTCATGGCCCTAGACCACTGCACCTTGTCCCATCTGTTATTGGCCAGAATGGAAGTCTGTCTGACTGTGTCTGTAAGTTTCCATGTGGCACTGAATGGGTCCAGAGGCTCCGTATCACCATCCTGGAAATGAGTTCCAAAGCTTACTCTCTTGTCTCACCACCCAGTGAATGCAGTGTTGCTTTGTCCTATTCTGCCCCAGGTTAGGGGAAGGGTGGTGAATGCAGCTATCTGGCTGACTATATCTAGAGGCTAGGTCTGCTGACACTATCCTGGGAGTAGGAGCTGTGGTGCTCTGTCTGGCACTAAGTTTCACTGTGGCACACCTGGTACTGGGTTTTGAGTCTAAGGCTTAAACATAATTTTCTTTCCCTCCCCAAGCGAAACAGCTGTTTCCACACTGTGTTGCTTGGAAATGAGGGAGGGGTGATGCAGGAAATGCCTTCTTGTATTCTTCAGTGCATCTTTTCATATGATTATGCCAAAACTAGGTATTGTAGTCTCTCATTTGGTTTCCTCAGCTCTTCTGAAAGTGATTTGATACATGAATAGCTGTTCAAATTGTTGTTTCTGTGGGGAAACACTCATCGAGTGTCTTAACAGCCCCAATCTTGCTCTACTTGGACAATATCTTTTCATGTGTGTCTTTTTGTACACAATAAAAAATGGATTTCTAGAACCAGAACTGCTAAATCAAAGGAAATATTTACATTTTTTACTTTGCAAGTTTTTTGTATGTTTATATTTTATTTAAGTTGACAAACCTATATAAATTTAACATATAAAACATGATGTTTTAAAATGTATTTATTTTGTGGTATACTTCCATTGAACTAGATAGAATATGAATTTCCTCATGTCATTATAATTTTGTGGTGAATGCCTAAAATCTACTCTTCTAACATTTTTGAAAGTACAATATATATATTATAAAATGAAGCCCCCACATTGTACAACAGATCTCTTAAATTTAGTCCTCTTATCTAACTGAAATTTCTCATATTTTGTGGCTCACCCACTTTTTACCTGAAGAAAGTCAAGATCATCTCCATCTTCTGTTTTATTGCAACTGGGAAGCTTTCATCAGGCTCACCAACATCCTAATAACAAATTCACTTTATATGAATATTTATTCAATATTAACTTAGCAATATGTATTGAAGTTCCTGAATTTTAAAAGAATCATTTGGGACTCACAGTAATATAATTAAACACTTAAAGGGAATTGTCATCTACCTTACTCTTTTCTTTAAAAAAGAAACTCTTTAAGTGCTTATTGACTTTGTAAGTAAGAATATTTTATTCCCAGCAGGAAGTGACTAGATTATGGGTAAAATCAATGTCTCAAGGCACTAGTCCAATATTTCTTCCTCTTTGACAGTTTATATTCAGTGCTCATCCTTCTCAACTGTTTTTCACTATTGAATATTTCTTAAACATTGTTTCTTTATTTAATTTATGCCACACCACTATGGCCAGAATCCTTTGATAGATCTAGGACTATTCTTTGTTAATTCATTCATTTAATTTTAATTTAATTGTGGCTTTAGAGTGGGCTTCAACCAGAGTGCTTTTTCCAGTGAATAAATAAATAAATAAGACAACTTTGAAAGTGCTATAAACAAAAGCACAATAATGAAGATAAACAGTGATGGGAAAGGGTACTGAATTAGATAGGATATGTGAGGAAAGGTCTGGAAAGCTGGCATCTATGTTGAGAATGAGCTGACAATGTTGATTTGAGCCAAGTGTACGAAGAGTGAATGACAGAGCTTTTTGCCTAAAATAAACACCAAGTACTAATGACTGGATGTCTAGATGAACTTTTCACTTTCAAGGAAGAGAAAGAAAGTCATTGTGACTGATTATAATGATGGCAGAGATAATGATTTTCAGCAAATTTGGGGATTAGATGAAGCAAAGCTTGAAGCTAAGATTCTGAATTTCATACCAGTAGTAATAAGGACAGTAGTAATATCATTTCACTTACTTTTAGAGAAAGGCCACTGGATTCCATAATGAAATTGATTTTAAAGATTAGGAGGCCCATGTAAAGTAAGGTCCAAGAGACAAGTACCAGAATGGTATCTGTGGGCAGTGAGGGTTGACATAATTAGGGGAAAAAAGTAGTTTAGAAGTAGAGATAGCAAGATTGTTGATATACTTGTAAGCAAACTAAAGAAGTTCAGGATAGCTCTTAGTAGCTGGGACTGTTTTCTGAGACAGGTAAGAATTCAGGAGGAAATTAACAATAATGCTTTGAATATGTTCCATTTGAATGGAGATTGTTCATGGTCATATTTATTCCCTCTCCTGGGAAAAATGCTTCCTTGTCTATCCATTTTCCCTATCCTTTCATCTGACTCTTCCTAATTATACCTAATATATCCGTTTGGCTATTTTTTTTTCACCTAGAAGGCTCCCTGGACTTGTTTTTGCCCTTTGTGTTTTGCACACCTCTCTCTTGACTTTTTGCCTTGGGATTCATTATTTAATTTTCATTCCAATTCTGTATTTCTCCTAAAACTAAGTTTATTGTTTCTCATTCAAACTATAAGCTGATTAGTGCACTCCTATTCACTTTGTCATCCAAAGCATTACTTTTCAAGTCAGTTTTGGTGAAATGTAAGTGCTTTTGTTCTGTTTTTCCAGTCCATTGTGGACTAATACATTGCCCTACAGCACATGACCAGCAAGTAGCTCACATCACACAGCATATCACAGAAACTTAACAACAACCAGGTATGTCTACTTTCTGTGCAGCCAGAGAGTTCCACTGATCATATACTTGAATATCATAGTAATATCAAATTGTCATACATATCTCTTCTATTCACTCAATTACTGCACTTATCCTATCTGAACATACACCAAACTGTTCTCAGACCCACACTAGTTTACACAGTATATGGCACTAAACCAAAACATACCAGACTCTAATCTCCTTCAAATTGTCTTTACAAAATTTTAGTTTAATGAGCTTTTTTTTTACTTTTATTCCTTTTTCTCTAGTCTTTCCTGTTACATTGCCTAAATTCAGTTCTTAATCTTCTCTTGAATGGTCTGTTGGGAAAATTCATTCAATTGGTTATTTTTCAATTTGTGGCAAACAGTATGCTGCAGAAATATGCAATCAGAATTCTTCTATTTCCTCATATCTTGAAGTTACACATGGGATAACTGACTATTTCTGAGAAATAAGGTGTTAGTAAAGAAAGTCTACATCATTTCCAGTTTGAGCCATTGAAAGCTTCCCTTTGTGGTGAATGTGGAAGCTGCAAGTTGAGATGTTAGAATAAGAACCACAAGATGGAATTCTCTTGATCCCTTGGTCACTGAGTGGAAGACAGTTGATTTTGAAAGTCACCTAAGAATTGAACTTTGTTCAGTTAAATCAATAAAACATCTAGGTAATTTGTTATACATTATAGCTTCATATATATTAACACAATCTCATACTCCATGTAGCTATTGAAATGTTTTTAAAAACATTCCCAATGAGCAGGCATTAATGAAGTTCCTATATCAAAGTATGTTCTGGTCATTCCTATAGGGCAAGTTTGCCTATAGAGTAAACTGATTAATCTTCTACATGAGACCCTCCAAAGTATATGGTTCAACTACTTAATCATGTGATATCATGCATACTTGCTCACAAACTTTATTTCCTGTCACATACTCATTTCCTTTTAATGTGCCCATAAAGACCATCTGTCTTTTTGTTTCTACTATAGTCTCCTTTAGGTTATCTTTCCTGACCCATTGATGCATATTGAAATTGTATATCCTTCTAATAAGTCAAGTCTCCATTTAGTAGACTGATCTTCCACTGAGCTATTGCCATTACATTTCATCCCCATGGTATTTTTCTTCTACCTTACCTTAAAACTATTCCTTTTCTATTGAAACTTTAAAATGGTTATCCCTATGTTTGGGATATCTTGTTAGTGGATTGCCAGATCTTTCACGGAAGGCATTGGGTTTGACTGATCTTGTGAAGTGAGAGCACAGTAATGGCACAGAGCAGTCATTTGGTGACTATACAAGAAAATAAGCAGAGAAACCAAGGCAAGGGAAGGATGAGAATATAAGGGCTATGTTATCAACCACAATGTTCAAGTAATTTTTAAAATGCCATTGTCTTTGAAGGTAAGCTATCTTCCAGTCAGCTTCCTGAGAGCTCCCTTCACATCCTTGTTCCTAAGGCTGTAAATGATGGGGTTTAACATGGAAGTCATAACTGAATAGAACACAGAGACAACCTTATCCTTTTCATTCATTGTCTTGGAATTAGGTCTCATGTAGGCAAATATTCCAGAGCCATAGTAGAGAACCACAACAGTGAGGTGGGAACCACAGGTGGAAAAGACCTTGAGTCTTCCCTCCCCTGATTGCATCCGAATCACAGTGGAGATGATATTCCAGTAGGAGACAAGGATGAGGGAGACAGGAGCTAAGAGAATAATCACACCCATTGAAAAGAGAGCCATCTCAGCATTGTATGTGTCTGCTGAAGCCAGCTTTAGCAGTGCAGGTGGTTCACAGAAGTAGTGATTAATTACATTCTGTCCCTGGTAGGGGAGATATAATGTAAAGGCACTGTCCACTGAGCAGACGAATGCCCCACTTATCCAGGAAACTGTAGCCAACTGGATACAAACCTTTTGGGTCATGACAGTGGAGTAGTGCAGAGGCTTGCAGACAGCCACATACCGGTCATAGGACATCACTGCCAGCAGTGTGCACTCTGTACATCCTGCTAGAAGAAAGACCACTATCTGTATTGAGCACCCAGCAAAGGAAATGGTTTTTTTTTTTCACAAGGAAGTGGACCAACATCTGGGGTACAATGCTTGTAGAGAAGCAGAGGTCAGCAAAGGATAAGTTCTTGAGAAAAAAGTACATGGGTGTGTGAAGTTGAAAGTCAGTTTGGATAAGGATAATTATCAGCAGGTTCCCAAATATAGAAAGAAGGTAGATGGTCAGGAAAACACAGAAGAGCAAGATTTGGATTTTGGGATCCTGTGAAAGTCCCAGCAAGATAAATTCAACCACATAAGTTTGGTTCCCTCCTCCCATTAATGTTTATTCTTGTTTACCTGTGATCAGAAAGAAAGCAGATATTTTTACTACTTTATAAATAAGTATAATATTAATACTCATCTTATGACTGTTGGCTTTCATCTGTTTCCTACTAGTTGCCAATTTGCATTAAGATGCATTGTGTTGTTTCTAGCAATGCTAGAAATTTTGTTCGTTTTTGTTTCTTTGAGACAGGGTCTTACTATGTAGCCCAGGCTGGCCTTGAATTTGCAACCTTCCTAGTGCTGGGATTACAGGTGTGAAACCACCATGCCCAGTTTGCACATAGTTTTTAAGCAAGTTTTTCCTTGATTGAAGAGGAAGATTGCTGTAAAACATAAAAAGCTGCCAATTAAAACTCTAAAAGGTGTTACCTCAAACAAGGTGTAAAGCATGAGAAATTGCCAATTAAAGCTATAAAAGAAATTTCAGGACCGGGATAGAGGGCACCATGCAGAGATAATCACCCATTCCTGCCTTCCTTTGTCTCCTCCTGTAAATAAACTATCCAAAGCAGGTCTCCCCTGCTGTTCTTATCTAAACAATTTTAGGTCTCTAATTCACTACTAGCCCTAATTAATCTGAGCACATTCCTTGTAACCTGATGCCCTGCACTGCCTTTTAAATACCCTGAGAGTCCTTTGTTCAGGGCTCAGACATGGTATCCATCCATCTGGGCTGGATGGCATAAAATAAAATCGGAGTTCTCCACTCCTCCAAGTATCGCTTGGTTTCTCATCTGTCAGTATTTCTGCAACAGATGATCTACTGGTAGTATGAATATCATGTGCTGTATGTCTTCTTGGTTAATCCTGATGTCCTGATTTTTGAGTACTACTAAATTACTATGTAGCAGTGATAAGAGAATTCTCTTTGGTTCAATTTCATTTTTCTTCTTGAGAAATACTTTTTTTTTACCTGGATTAACTGTATGAGAATGTAGCAAACTGATTTAACTGTTAAAACAGCTTTTTGCTTCAGATTTCAAAATAGCTCAGAGATCAGTGACACATTTGTCCATCTTACTGTAGGAAGTTCAAATATGGTTTTGGAACCAAACATATAAATCATACTTATTAGTTCCTGCTTCTTTTCCATAGTTTTGTTCTGTGTGAAATAACTTCCTAAATAGATATCTTTCTGAGGTTTGGATACAGGTGGTGAGCAGACAGGGTATCATCAATGAAAATATCAGAAGTATCAGGAGTGAATACCTGAGTACCTATTACACCCTCTAAATAGTCCCCATAGTTTATTTTCTGCTCTGTCCTCTGTTAAATCCATGCTGTTCCTTGGGGGAACTTATTTAAATTCACTGCCTCAACCATCACCTATCTGTAGAATGTCTCAAAAACTGACACTTAGCTAATACTCTAAATTTGAATCTTTACATTTTCAACTTTTTGATGAATATTTACCATAGAATCTTTTGCTTCTGCCTCAAATCCAACATATTTGGGATTCTAATAAAACTGCTAATTTTATTCTGCTAATCATTTTTAACATCCCTATTTTTACAAATAAGACTGCTATTTTCCCTAACTACCATGTCCTAAAAACATAACAGCCACACTGACTTTTTTATCCCTTTTATTTACTCAAGTTGAGTTGTCATCAAGTTCATCATTTGAACCATTTTTGAAAACTCTATGCTTTCTTTTGATTGTTATTGTCATTCTTGCTGGTCTAGTTCTTTTTAAAATTCCATACTTATTATTTTAATACCCTTATAATTTATTTATGCACCAGAGTCTAATATATGTTGTACTCCAGAGTAAATGGTTTCCTGTGTTAAGCTTAATATGCTCAAAGTCCCCTACTCCATGGTAACCCCAATCTCCATCCTACTTATACCTAACATGTTTCTGCATTTCAGTGAACCTGGGTTATTAATTATCTTTTACTGTTAGATTCTAGGAGCTTGGTAGAATAAAAGAGAGAGATAATAAGAACAGGTCACTTTAAGAATACTAGTATATAGTGATGTGGAAATGATGAAGAATGTAATTCTGAAGAGCTGGTAATTTTCTTCTTCTTAAAATGGGGCTAATTATATGGCTGTGTTCATGATGTGAAAATTCATTGAATTCTACACTTAACTTTTGCACTTCTCTGTAGATATATTATACTTTAATTAGGAAGTATATTACATGACTGGGTATGCTGGTGGATGACCCTAATCCCAGCTATTTGAAAGGTAAAGATCAGGAAGATAGCTGACTGGGGACAGCCCAGGCAAGATGTCAGCAAGATCTCTTCTCAACCAACAAGCTGGGTGTGGTGGCACACACGTGATCCCAGATACTAGGAGACATAGGTAGGAGAATCATAGCCTGAGGCAGTCTGGGAAAAATGTGACCCCTATCTGAAAGATAATTAAAGCAGAAAGGACTGGCGGCATGGCTCAAGTAGGGAGCCTCTGCCTAGCAAGCCTGAGGTCCTGAGTTTAAGCCCCACTGCCCCCTTCAAAAAAATCTTTATTTAAAAATAGAGTATTTGGTGACAAAAATCATGTTATTTTGGGATAGAGTGTGCTTTAAATAATCAAGCTACAAGAAATTGTCTAAATAAATTAACTATGGTTTATTTAACATGTTATATCCTTCAGTTTCTAAAACTTTCTGAATGTAGAAATGTCTTTAGAAGGAAGAGACAGAGGAGAAGACAGAGATGGTTAAAATGTTAGTTACAATTATAAAAAAATTAGCAACAACCCAATATAGCAAATATTCCCTAGCAACAATTAAGTTGTTGTTTTAGAGAGTAAAAAAAATAAGCTCAGAACAGAGTCCCTAGATACACCAGTCAAAGGGTGAGTGCTACAAGTGTACTTAAGAGGAACTTTTCAGACTTGATAGAAACAGTGAGCTCCTTGCTTCCTTCATCTATTTGTTTGATTCCATTAATTCTATTTTTTAGTGCCTGTTACTTTCACTACTCCACTTACAATACCAGCTTTGATACTATTAGAATGTTAGTTGTAACAAAAGAAAGCACCATTCAAAGTGTTCAGTTTACAAGTGGGAGTTTATAGATGTGCATTACCTAAAATCCACAGAAGAGCTGGCTTCAGGTGAGACTCTGTCCATGCACTGACCATGTCCCTTTATATGTTTCCACATAGTCTTCATCATTGTCACCTTCATCCTAATAGCTACAAGCACAGGTACATGCTCTCTTGCTCACATCCAACAATAAAAAAAGTTTCCTTGCACTAAGATAAAGTCTAATGTATGGGATCAGGTTCCCTGAAAGACTAATGGGCATATAAAAAAATAAGAAAATTTTGAACACAGGAAAAAGACTAATAAAAAGATAATTTACAAATACCTTATTCTGTTGTATACATTCTATTTTAGTTTACAATACATGTCAGACTCTGATGCAAAACTATAACAAAGAAACCACAGACCTTGACAAAAATTTCACCTTTGATTAAAGATGCAAATAATATAAATAATATATTGGTAAGTGATATATAGAACTATATTAAATGAGGAATATATGATAACTAAGTAGAGTTTTACCAAGTAATTAGTACTTTTAAACATTAAGGGATGAGCCATGTGAAAACATCACTACTGAGATACAAATAGGCCAAACAGACTCCAATTCTAATCATTTTGGGATTTATTTTTTCCAACCATCTTTCTGCTGAAAACAGCTATGAAATCAGTAAGATCTTAAGGGACAAAAATCTTGGAGAAAGAACATCCCAGTGTGCTGATCATGACAGTACTGTTGTTTTTTTTTTTTTTTCTCATAAAGTACATATGGATTCTAAAGAAGCAACTGAGAGTCTGATAAACTCAACAAAGCATGGGATGAGAAGTTAAAAATATGAGGAATTTTTTCAACAGTCTGAAGACAGTAAGAATAAAAATCGAAGTTTAAGGCTTACCAACTAGATACTGATAGGCATTAGTTGGAATATCTGTGGACTTATACCCTTGCAATAGGAGTGAGTTGGAAACATAAATCACTACTACCTCTGTTTTTCATAAGACAATTTGTTCTTTATTTAATTCTCTGCCAGAATCCAAACAAATGCTCTATTGGAAAGGGAAACATTCAGAATCTCAGACTGGCTTTACAATATCCCATGAATTCCGTATTTGCATTTAGCAATAGGAAATTACAAGGCACAAGACAAAATAAGAAAAAGAACAACAGAGAGAGTAGACACAGACAGACATGGAGATGAAGAGACAGAGAGAGAGCTATAAATAAGAGAAACTAAAATAAGAAATCTAATATTGAAGTTATCAGTCATAATCTTTACAATATTATGAATAAAATATTATCAAGATATTAGGTTAGAGAATTTAATCAGAGAGATAAATACTAAAAATTTTTTAAAAACTAAAATTTTGATAAAAAATTAGAATGTTTAAAATAAGTCACAAAAGATGCTTTAACAGCTCTGCATTCTCTCTGATACCAAAGTGACGAGCTTGAAAACCAATGCGGTGAACTAGCTGTTTTCCAGTCCTGAGAGTTATTGTACAGGCAAGCTCAGTTTGGTTTGCTCCATCTGACTCCTCAAGAAACCTGTTGGCTAAATGGACTGAATCTGACCACTCTCCCCCAGAAAATCTTTAACTAAGAATACTGATTGAAGACCCCCCAGACTGGTCTAGTGGGGACAGGCTGAAACCACTTGCCCAGCGTTTCTATCCAAAGGAGGAGCAGGGGGAAAGTAGGCTACGGTCTTCTGGGTCTCTATCTGAAAACAAGGAGGATACCTAGATGAGCTGGCAAGCTAGCTAGAGCCCTTAAACTATTGCACAACCCAGAAGTGTATACATATACACAAATGACAGGAGATAGTTGCCCCTCAATCCCTAAATGAAGCATGAAACTGGAAATTTAGATGGAAAAGGGTAAAAAGGAAAAAATCTCATTGTGGACAAGCTACAGCAGCCATTGAATGCCCTGAATGGGGAAAGAAGCAGACTCAGAAAGCAGTAGAGTGCTTTCTACCCCACTAGTTGTGCTCAGAGAACCCATAACAGACCCACAATGCCTAC